AGCGCCGGCCCGGACGCCCGACCCAAACAGCCCGGGGACCCCCCTGGCAGCCGCACTCGGGGCGCCGTCCCACCAAGCGCTGGGCACGACGGCCGGGCACGGGCCCCTCCTCCCCAGGCCCTCCTTACCCGGCCATGGCCCTCAAGCGAGGTCCGCGGCGGCGACGCCGGCGAGGGCAGCCGGGGAAGCGTGTGGCAGCGACAGGTGAGTCCCGGCCCGAGCCGTCGGGCCCCGACGCCAGGAAAAGCTGCAGGGCTCGTCCACCCCGCGGGGGAGTGACCATCCGTTCGCTCGCGGAGCGGGAACCGGGCCGCCGCCGCCGCTCGGTCCTGCCGGGGCCGGCGCCCACTACATCCCCGCGGCGGCGCCCGCCCGCCCGGGAAGGCCAGGAGCGCCACACGCCGCGGTCGCGCTCACGGGGCGCCGGAGCCGCTAGGGTCTCCCCGCTCCTCCACCGAGGGGAACTTGGCGCGTTTTCCTCAGCCTCAGGACCCCCGTGTGTTAGCCTCCGCCCGCGCCAGCGCCGCGAGAGAAGGGGGCGTCCTTCGAAAACGCCGGTTCCCGTCTCCACAGTGAAGAGGGTCGAGAGGCCAGAGCCGCCGCGCGAACGCGCCGTGCAGCCGGCCGCACGGGCTCCGGAACCCGCTGGAACGGTAGTTCCTCCCAAGATCCTAACGGGTTCTGCACTTTCAAACAGCACAGGCACAGTCACGGGCAGCTCGCGCGGGTCCTCGCAGGCGGCGCGCGCGACGCGCCGGAGGCCTGGCGGGCGCGCTCGAGCCTCACGCCCTCTTTTTTCCTTTCTCTTTAACCATTCGTGCTCTCCCGTCGAGGGGAAAGCGGGCGGGTCGGGAGGCCGCTCAGAGAGAATATGGGACCTACTCCCCCGCCCTTCCTCAAAAAAGGAGCCCCCAGGTGCTCAAACGCGCCAATCCCAGGTACACAATCCACGGCCCCGCCCTCTCCTGCCGCCCAGTATGAGCCAATCAGAAGTATCTAGACAAAAATACCAATTGGATGGGCGGAGAAAGAAGTCGCAGCCAATAGAAAAAAAATAGAGAGGGGGGGGAAGGAGAGTCTAGCCAATCATGGTGGGACATACAGAGTGTTTCTCCAGAGCGGCGCTTCTCCTTTCATTCTCATTGGCGCCCGAGAGCGCGCTTTAGCTTCGGACAGTTAAATAAGTCCGGCTTTGCGTCCTGGAGGGCGGGACGTCGCGGAGGGTGCGGCTTCCGGAGTGAGGTCCTCACTGCAGGTCCCGCCTCCCTTTCTTGCGTGCGCACTCGGGCGGGGCGGGGTTACCAGGGAGACGAGTTTCGAAAAGTGACCGGCTTGCTAACGTGCATGCGCCTTCCGTTTGGAATGGAATGGGAAACCCGATTTCCTGTGCTAGGGCTGTCGGAGAAAACCGAGCGCTCCCTTAGAAAACACTGGCTCCCGACCCCCAAGCCGGGTAGCCGAGGCTTCTTGCTCGGCGCCGCCCGTTTATTCTCCCCATCTCCAACTGTATGGAGCCCCTGAACCAAAGCACTCGAAGCGCCGGAGCGCCTTCGCGGCTTGTTTTGTGTTTACGCTGCCTGTGAGCCTGCGCGGCGGCGGGGCTGCAGTTAGCAGGATCTTAGTCCAGGCCGGGCGCCGGCCGCTCACGCCCGTCCTACGAGCCACCCAGGAGGCTGGGATCTGAGAAGCGTGGTTCCAAGCCAGCCCAGGCAGAAAGGTCCGTGGGACTCTCATCTCCAACAAAAAGCTGAAAGTGGAACTGTGGCTCAAGTGGTAGAGGACTAGAGTTGAGAAAAACCAATGAAGGAACAGTGAGTGCCCAGGTCCTGCGTTCAAACCCTAGGACCAGCACCGATATACATACACATTAACCCAAATACATTTGGAAGGTATTTGGGGGCGCCGACTTGATGTGCCACGGCATTTTCAAATGCACTCGGTGCTGTAAAGGAGTTACAGGTTCCAGAGGGAGGCAAATGGGATGTGAAATAATATAAATGATGCAGAAAGGAAATAACGGCATGGCATGGTGTTTTAGATACAATAAGGTGATATTTGACCAAAGAGCTCGATGGAACAAGCCTTATGAAGAATGTCCCAAGTCTTGGAAGAATAGAAAGTTACAAAAGTGCTAAAAGCAAGTTATAATGAAAGTGCTAGAGCTTGGAAAGGATAGGACACTTAAGGGCAGAGTGAGCCTGGATGAGAAGCTTGCAAGGCTCTGATAGAGACCAGTCTTTGTATGGTTCTGAGCTAGGTGAATAGTAGGATTTGGGTAATGGCTAGCTGTGACCCTCAAGAGTTGAAGAAGAGGGGCTGGGAAGGTGGCTCAGTGGTAGAGCTCTTACCTTGCATGCATGAGGCCCTGGGTTCGATTCCTCAGCACCACATAAGCAAAAAGAAAAAAGCCGGAAGTGGCGCTGTGGCTCAAGTGGTAGAGCGCTAGCCTTGAGCTGAAGAGCTGAGAGCTGAGGGACAGCACCCAGACCCAGAGTTCAGGCCCCACGACCGGACCCAAAAAAAAAAAGTGTCAAAAAGGCAATGAATATAAAACAAATACCCAAAGGGGTAGATGGTAAGAACCCACTTCTCCCTAGGACTATGGACAGAAATTGTTATATCACTGTGTTATAAGTACTGCCTGGTGCTGGTGGCTCATGCCTGCAGTCCTAAACTACTCTGAAGGATGATAGATGTCTGAGAAACATGTTTCAAAGCCACCACAGGCAGGAAAGTCCATGAGACTATTTCCAATTAATCACCAGAAAGCCAGAAGTGGAGCTGTAACTCAAGTGGCTGAAAACTAACCTTGAGCAAAAATACTAAGGACAGCACCTAACTAAGCCCTGAGTTCAAGCCCCAGGACTAGCACACACACACATACAAAGTATTATTGATTAGCTTTTTGTAAACATCCTTTTGAAAGAGGCTTTGGCTCAACAGAAGATCAACTGCCACAAACTGCCACTTACACCCAAGCCAGAAAGAGGAAGTATTACAGCCTAACTACTGATTGGTGCAAACACAATCCTTTATTTGCATAATGGAGTGTATCATGATTAGTACAACCTGAGAAGACTGTTGTGATTGGTGCAGACACCCTTGTCCTTCCACTCCTTGCTATATAAGCAGACTGCTGGACATATTTCTTTTTCTGCTTTGCTGAGCTGCTACTTTGCTGCTTCACTGGTGTTACAGCATCAGCTTTCAACAAAGGCTTTCTGCTGTGGTTTTGCCTATCTTTACTGAGCTTGCAAGGCAAACAGTAAGAGTAGCAAGCTGAGCATCCTGAGCAAAGCTTACAGAAGTGCGGGGGGCAAGGAGTGGCTGACAGCAAAGAGTATCTGTAGGCAACAGACAGCTGTAACATCTACGGCTTCAGGTCGCCTGTGGTATAAAGAGCGATAACTTGGGGCCTTGAACCCCATGCTGCTATCCTCGTTGTCTGCAGCCTCAGCTGGAACCCTGAGACCCAAACCATGGTGTATCACTACCCTAACTGCAAAAGTCCAGGCTGACTGCTATTGTCCAGTGTCATCTACAATCCTTCCTGCAAATGCCACAACGGATCAGAGTTTCTGAAGAGTTTTTTCTCACCTATTTATGATTTCCATCTGAGTTGAGCAGAAGGACCACAGTCAGCTGGTTTGTGAAAATAGAGCAGGTAGGTGGGACAGAAAAGAAAAGCTCAGGGAAGTGGGTATGATAGAGGGAATATATTATGTACTGTGTTTTGAGGGAAGGCACAGAGGTTACATATTTACCAAGGCCATAAGAGCTCCACTGGTACAAATATGAGATTACCAAAAAAATCCACACATTTTCCTTAGTAAGCACAGCAATGGCCATCCCTTGATTGATAGCAATGAGAATAATAGCCCCAAAACAATAGAGGCCAGGTGATAGTGCTTAATTACCAGAAGCCAGGGAGTAACAATTCTAATCTACTAAGGAGGCCTGGCCCACAGGGAATTACTGAAAAGGCTTCTAGAACGTGGTGTCCTTAGGTCTGAAATGACAACCAGCCAAAAAAAAAAAAAAAGAGAAGGGAGTCGGGTAGGGGGAGATGCTAAGGACTGTTTGTTACTTAATCCCCATGAGTCTTTAGTTTTGGCACCTGAGTCAGTTTTGTAAACCTGGAATATACTTGCTAAACATATCCCCAGAAGAAAGACCCTCGCCTATATCTCAACATTTATAAATGGTAATACCCAAAGGCATAGTTCGCCATTTATATACATCGCTGTCTTGAGGAAATAAACCTACTTAGACCTTATGTATGTACGTATGTGTTTATTTTGACACTGCTACTGATAAAACTTGGGGCTATGTGCTTGCTAACCAGGTTCTCTACCACTTGAGCCATGTCTCCCAGCCCTACCCAGACATTTCCAACAGTGGAAGATGCAGAGTCTGACTTGACATCCGGATACTGCTAGAATGAGTCGTGGAGGCCCATTACAAAATGGAATTGGGGAAATCCAGATCTGTACACCATCCAGTGGTGATTTCCCTACTCTCCAAGTGTATGATGGAGTTAAGACAGATGGTGCACACCCATCTGGTCCTCTGCTTGTGGAGGAAAACTCTATCATAGTGGAGTAGACTAAGAGGAAATCTTCGAAATTACTTCTCTACCCAAGCCAAACAGTATAGTGTTTTAGCTCAGGTTATTGTAGGTAGCTGGTGTATTTAGGCAAGAAGAGAAGTTTATTCTACCACCAAACTGCTGTTCTAATTTGCACGGTGGAACTGCACAAGCCTGAAAAGGGGGCAAGCTGAACTCCAACCTGGGTTTAAGCAGAGAAGAAGGTGGGGAGAAGGTGTGGCCAGGTGGAGGAAGGTGTGGCCACACTGGATGCTGATGTGACCTCAGGTCTTGGGACCTGATGGGAGTTGTGACAGGAAGCTGACAATGTGACCTTGGAGGAAGGGGAGGTGACTGCCTCCCGGTGTGCCAGTTACCTAGGTGACACAGGTTCTGAGTGGAGACAGAGCCAAGAAGCTGGAGGAGTCTAGCCTGCCTTCCCAGAGTGGATATCACAATATATAATCTTGTTGAGTATTAGGGTTACAACATAGAACAGAACCAAAGACAACCGTTCAGTTCCTACCACACAATAAATCACATAATGTATTTCAGAAGGGAATGATAGTGACTAGCAACATCTTTATGAAGGTAAAGAAAAAGAAAATAAGCAGGACACTGGTGTCTCACACCTGTGATCCTAGCTACTCAGGAGGCTGAGATCTGAGGATCACAGTTCAAAGCCAGCCTGGGCAGGAAAGTCTGGGAGACTCTTATCCACAATTAACCACCAGAAAACCAGAAGTGGTTCTGTGGCTCAAGCTGAAGAGCTCAGGGACAGCTCCCAGGCCTGGAGTTGAAGCCCCATGACTGACATTAAAAAAGAAGCTGAGTACTGGTGGCTCCCGCCTGTAATCCTAGCTACTCAGGAGGCTGAGATCTGAGGATCCTGGTTCAAATCAAGCCTAGGCAGGAAAGTCCATAACACTCTGATCTCCAATAAACCACTCAAAAAAATTGGAAGTGGCACTGTAGCTCAAGGGCTAGAGTGCTAGCCTTAGGCTGAAAAGCTGAGGGACAGCGCCCAGGCCCAGAGTTCAAGCCCCACGACTGACAAAAAAAAAAGAAGAAGAAGACTCAGTATCTGAGCCTTTAACCTTCATCTGATATTTTAGTAAAGCCAGCAACAACAAAACAGCAGATCAAACTATTACACCATAATTAAATCTAAAAGAAATAACTTTCAACAATTAAGTTGTTTAAAAGGTAAATACCCCCTGGCTTCAGAATTCTAGCTCTTGGGCTGGGAAGGTGGTTCAGTGGTGCTTTCCTCACATGCATGAGGCCCTGGGTTCCATTTCTCAGCACCACATAAGCAGAAAAAGCCAGAAGTGGCGCTGTGGCTCCAGTGATAGAGTGCTAGCCTTGAGCTGAAGAGCTGAGGGACAGTGCCCAGGCCCAGAGTTCAGGCCCCATGACCAGCAAAAAAAAAAAAAGGAAAGAATTCTAGTTCTCTTTTAGTGTCAAGTGGGAGGACCTATCATGCCTAAGAAAGGAATGCCCTACCCCATTTTAACGTTTGATAAGTTTAGTAGATGAATGTCCGGTAAGTGGGTGAGTTCAGGGAGAGGTTATTTATATATTTCATGGGAAAAGAGTTTTGTGTTTCAAATGCCATAGAATTGTTTAATCCTTTGTATATTTAACCCATCCTGAAAAGAGACTACAATTAAACTGCAACCACAGTATTTTTTTTTTCTGAATAAAATTTACTCCGGGTGCCAGTGACTCACACCTGTAATCCTAGCTACCCAGGAGGCTGAGATCTGAGGATCACAGTTCAAAGCCAGCTCGGGCAGGAAAGTCTATGAGACTCATCTCCAAGTAACCACCAGAAAACCTGAAGTGGTACTATGACTCAAAATGGAAGAGTGCTAACCTTGAGCTGAAGAGCTCAGCAGAAACAGCTCCCAGGCCCCAGAGTTCAACACACACACACACATACACACACACACACAAATAATTTTATAAAAGTATGTGGTGAGCTGGGCACCAGGGACTTAGGTGTGTAAGCTACTCAAGAGGCTAAAATCTGAGGATCATTATTCCAAGGCAGCCCAGGCAGAAAAGTTCTCCTGAGACTCTATCTCCATTTTGTAAGGTCCATTCCTGGATGGCAAGCAGACCCTGCCCAGTACCTGCGTTACCTAGGCAACTGGGACACCTGGAAGAGGTCACATCTGCATCCGCTGAAGTCACATCTGAATCTGATGTGGCCATACCTTTCTCCCACCTGGTCTCAGCTCTTACCTGGTCCCACTTCCCTTTACCTGGACACACCTTTCCCCGCCCCTACCCTATATAAGGCCTAACCCAGGGCCAGACACTATTTTGTCAGCAGCGTAGGTCTATTAAATAAACCTACCCCTTACCTGAATACCATGTAGGTGGTGCTGTTCTTACTCGGCTACCTCTTTTTATTTTTTTATTTATATATTTTTGGGTCCGGTC